CAGAACAAACTTATTTCACTTTTTTTTTTAAAGCCCCACACTAGGACTGTCTCCAGTGTCGTGGGTGCGTTTACAAACATACAAGTTCACATACACATCACACACAGACACGGAACAACACTCTGTGGATCACACAGAGTCGTTCCATGCGGGAATCGAACCCGCAACACGTTGGGCTGCAGCCAAATTATTATGTCAAAAAAAAAAATTACGCCACAATTCCAGGTGAACTTATGTTTCTGATGATCTTATGCCGGAATACTGAAACGTTACTCAATTTTAAGTCGTGCTCAAATATCGTGCCGTCTCTGTCATTTTACAAAGAGTGTGTAGAGATAGAACTATACTTAAGCACGACTTAAAATTGAGTAGCGTTTCAGTATTCCGACATTAGAGAATTAAATTTATTTTTGTTTACAATTGTCTACAATAAACACATTTACATGACAATAGAGAAAAGTCATGACTTCATATGAAGTCCACTTATGTACGTTTGGAGCATAAGGCCCCCGCATTGAAATAAATAGTCTCAGAGCCAGCTTTAGAATGTCTGGATAGGCGCCATGTGCCTGATCAATACATAGTATAAAACAAAGTCGCTTTCGCTGTATGTCCGTATGTATGCTTAGATCTTTAAAACTACGCAACGGATTTTGATGCGGTTTTTTTTAATAGATAGAGTGATTCTTAAGGAAGGTTTGTATGTATAATACATGCATATTGCACCCGTGCGAAGCCGGGGCGGGTCGCTAGTAAAGAATGAAAGAATATTGAACGTATTTGCATACTTGGTTGGATAGTTACCAACTAGTCAAATTCAATACATATTTCGAACTGTCAAAAACGACAGTTTTCTATGAATTTTGTACGAGATTGTGTATTGTGACGTCACGTTTTTTTGGCGTCAAACAACATACTTATTTCTTAAAAAACTGCTGGAAAAATACCAAACTTAAGTTGGTCATAAAATCAATTAATGAAAGTGTGATTACTTTTTAATATTTTATTGTATTGGACAGTCGAAATAATTTATTTTTGACTACCGACCCGCCCCGGTTCAGCACGGGTGCAATATGAATGCAATATTATACCTATACACCTTCTTTAAGAATCTCTCAATCTATTTAAAAAAACCCGCATCAAAATCCGTTGCGTAGTTTTAAAGATCTAAGCATACATAGTGACAGACAGACGGCGGATAGCGACTTTGTTTTATACTATGTAGTCATTAAGGAAAGTACCCAATACCAATGTCTGTTTCTTATTATTTTTCTTTTTTTCTTTCTTTTAATGTCGATCGATCGGAATTTGATCCAGGAGTAAGCCCCAGTTTGTCATATAATTATTTTATTTACTATACCTGTAAGCTCTGCACAGTAAACTTGGCGATGAGCTCAATAAGGCGAGGGTAGTTGTCCACCATAACGAGCTCGCCCAGTTGGTAGTTGGACTTCAGACGAGCGAGGAGACGGCAGAACTCGTGGTAGTTTGTCGGGTCTGAGAGGCCCTGTGGAAAAATACAGAGTTAATTTTCATAGACATAAACATTTATTAAACTGTCAAACACCAAGCGGTCACCGGTGACCGCAACCTATTGTTCTATAATTGTGTCTACATAGACGGTACTCGACGAGTTAAACACGGTCGCGTTTTATCAGATGAATCCTTACTAATATTATAAATCTGAAAGTGAGTTTCGTTTGTTTGTTCCGCCTTCACGCCGTAACTACTAAACCGATTGCTTTGAAATTTTGCAGACGTAAAGTTAGAAGTCTGGATTTAATAATAGGGTACTTTTTATCCCGGAAAAAATAATTTTCTAGAGGAAAAACGAAATTATTGGTATAGATGGCGCTGTGTGTATTGGTATATGTCACATAGGCTACCTTTTATCCTTCTGACGCGAGCGAAACCGCGGGTAAAAGCTAGTTCTACATAAGTGAATCGATTACCTTATATCGAGTACAATTTTAGATACTGCAGTGAAAGTTAGACAAAGGGTCTCGGGTTCGATACCCAGGTCGAACTAAGTATTACTGGGATTTCTCTCTGAAATCTCAGTAGTAACACGTAGTCTGGAATTGTGCCTGGTATATGACAATAGGCTCACCCCCTATTACATGGGACTCATAACATAAATAGTGTAAAGTTGGTGTTACATTGTACAGTGGAATTAAGTGTCGTAATGTACACCTCTGCGTACCACTTCAGGGGTAAAAGGCGTGATGTTATGTTGTTGTTTTATTGAAAAAATGTTTTCTACCATCACGGGAGCGTTCCATTTACACCATGTATAACAATTTCATATTTTTTTCTTTTTAAAGGAAGGAGTATAACGGATGAAATCTTTACCTGTGTATTTTCCAAAATTCTGAGCACTCCAGCGGCGAGTCTATTCAAGAACTTGGCTCGTTCGTTGGAACTGAACAACGAGCGACGTACAGACGCTAGTTGCACTAGGCACGCTAGGGCTAGACTCGCTAGGGCGCCACCTAGTAGGTGATAAAGCTCGAAGAATAGGTCTAGCGTGCCAGATTCTAGGAATGTCGGACGCCATGATGTTGGTATCTGAAAGGAGAGAAAATATTTGTAAAAACAGTACTAGTACCTGAAGTGTAATGAATAAAAAGGGCTTAAGGCATAAAAATATATATTGTAGGTATTTTTATTTTGTTTTTTTTTTATTGTACACGTAACTACCCCTTATCTGGTTTCTTACAAATATTTCCATCCAAAGGTTGTCTGGAAGAAATCACCATTGTGTGATAAGACCGCCCATTGTACGCATATTTACTTGAATTGTTTGATTTAAGCTACTTAAATGTATACAATAAAGCATATATAAATAAATAAATAAAATAAATAAAATATCCTTACTAATATTATAAATCAGAAAGTGAGTTTGTTTGTTTGTTCCGCTTTCACGCCGTAACTTCTAAATCGATTGCTTTGAATTTTTGCAGACGTAAAGTTAGAAGTCTGGATTATATAATAGGATACTTTTTATCCCGGAAAAAATTGATATTCCCGCGGGAAAACAAAAGTATTGATATAGATGGCGGTGTATGTATTGGTATATGTCACATAGGCTACTTTTTATCCTTTTGTGACGCGAGCGAAGGCGCGGGTAAATGCTAGTTTAAATAATAAAAATAAAAATCAACGGTGAAGTCGGTACAAGTTATCTAATGGATAGTTTTACATATTATGCGCCAGACGACATAATATGGTTCTATAAAACGAGTTGCGTGGAGTTGTCTTGTGAATTTGGTTGGTGAACCAAATTGAACCTTATCGTTAAGTTAGGATTGATAATCGTTTGGTCTTTACACATTTTGCCATTTAATTTTCAACTTTATAAGTAAATTTAGGCTATAATCCTCTGCTTAGTATAGAAATCATCATTACATCAATTTTGAACTCGACAGACACAATAAAGTAAAAAATAACGGGCTAAGCCTCATTGTTATAGTTTGAAATTAAATTTTAACACTATGATATTAAGGTTGGAAACCCTATTTTTATCGGATAAGCTTGTAAACGAGCAGACGGGTCACCTGATGGTAAGCAATTGGCGTCGCTCATGAACACCTGGAAGACCAGAGGCGTTACAAGAGCGTTACTACCGGCCTTTTGGGGATTCTGGAGGGGGGAGGGGGGTCTGGAGAGATTGGCCTTGCCCAATCTCTCCAGTCCCTGAATCCCCAGTCTGGAGGGGTAATTGCACCTCCGGTAACCTCACTGAAACAACGAAAGCGTTGTTTCACGTCGGTTTTCTGTTCAGCCGTGGTATCACTACGATCGAGCCGACCTATTCGTACCGAAACATGGCTCTCCCACAACTCTATCCAATAAAAACAATAATAACCCTTACGAACATAGTAAATAAGGTCTATATTCACCTGTACAGTACAAAGATCATCGCTGGACTCGTCACTGGTAGTGCCAATGAAATCGAACGTGAGACAATTGTGTGCGAGGCGCAGTAGTGCAGCTACTAGCGCGTGTTGCCTCTCGTCCGATAGTTCGGGGGCTTTGCCCCTCATCGTACCCAGGAGGGAACACGATAGACGGAACATTTCGAAGAGCTGTGTGTCTCTGGAAAAACATAGAAACAGAAATTCAATTATTCTTTTATAAACATAACATAACATCACGCCTTTTATCCTCGAAGGGGTAGGCAGAGGTGCACATTACGGCACTTAATGCCACTGTACAATAT